GCACGGCGGGCGGTGTTAGCGTTCGTTTCCGTCCCCCTCGTCAGCCAAATGGAGGTTTTGAGGCCCTTTGCTGGGGGCCACCATATTCTCGTTTTGTCTGTTGTAGGCGGCTCTCGTTGGGCCTGTTTTGCAAGAGCAAAGGGACTGTGAAAGCTTCCAAGGACCACAGTGTTTTTGTTACTGCGCATTTATATCCTGGTGAATGTTTTGATGTTTACCATCTCCTATCAAGGCTGGGCACCTTCCACGTTCCCCTGATTCCTAATGCGATAGCTTCAGCTAGGTAGAGAAATCTCTCAGAGTGATAAAAAGGCCTTAAAGTTAATGAAAATAATCAGTGTGCTGCAAGGAACATTGCCTCAGGAAATTAAAAAACTATATGGCACGGTGTGCGAGATGCATGCCTGCTTGCCCTCAGCCAGCACAAAAAGCTGTTTTACTTGCTCTGTTGTTGTCAATTCCCGCTCCTGTTCTGTCAGCCAGGGTTCTCAAAAATAGTTCACCCCACCCTGCCTTTTGCAGAAGCAGATCAGCATCTGTCCAAAGAATGGTGCTGCAGCTGTGAGCACCACAGAGTCAGCAGCAAGTGAAAATGTTCTTTCTGTGAGGGCAGCATGCATTCAAATAATTTGAAAGCAAAGTGGAAATTTTCCTTCTGCTGTGGATATGCTTACATTTGAGAAGCAGGGAAACTTGTCAGCTCAATCTGAGGAAAAATTAACCACTTTTTTGATTCCTTGGTTTGGGGTTTTTTCCTCAGCCTGATCACTTCTCTAGTTGAGTTTACTGAATGTTCCCATAGCATAGCAAGGGTAGGAATGAGTGAGTGAGGAAGAGGACAGACGGATGAGTTGCTGCTTAACTCTTACTGGTGGAGAAATTAATGCAGAACCGGCACCTGAAGGTTCAGCTGTTGTGATGCACTGAAGTGTGTAAGTCTCTGTGGGTCGAGTCTGACGTGACTTGCACTATAGTCCACGGAACGTTTGTGTTTGAGCAAACGATGCTGTTTTTTGCAAAGGTGGCTCCCATTTACCATTTGAATGTATTGCCCTCAAACTTCATTGTGATAGTAACAGGATGTAAAGTTTTCTGGACGTGTGTTATAACCAATTGCATAGTAGCAAAAGTGTCACAGTTAATGTCTCTATTTCCCAGGGAGATGACAGCCTGTCTGTGATAACTTGTGAATCAGATACGGAAATGGTGAGTTTTATTAATGGTGCACTGTGGACGAATACCTTAAAAGGCCTCTCAGCACGTTCTTGCACAGATTATATCCACCTGCTGCCTCCTGGTCGATAACACACCCTTCAGAGAGGAGAGCTAACCATGTTATTGCAACACAGTTTGATTCAAAAACCTCTTCTAATTCCAGATGTAATTCTGGCTTCTAAATGCTGCGGGCTGCAGATGATGTTTGGCTTCATTTTGCTCTTCTATCAAGTTGCTGGCCTAAGTAATCCTTTTACAGAGTTTTAACGGAATTTAGTAAGTCTTTCCTTTAGCTAAATGGTTCTATAGATCAGCCTCTATGCTGTGATCAACTTGAATTTCCTGCTACTTGTATTTAATACTGATGGGGAAGGTCTTAGTGTTCTGAGCATGAAGAGACTACTTTTTATCTGTAGCATAAAATTTCAGTTGGCACCACCTTAATTCTGGTGACCATTGCTATGGCCAAATCTGCATATACTTGATGCTACTATTTTTCTTTTCTACACAGAAGATTTTGTGTTATCAGAACAAATGATCTTCATACAAAATGGAGACTGAAGCCAATTTTGAGATTATATGCTGAAATCTGTGAAGAGTGGAATATTTTAAATACAAAAAAAAATCTTTTTCTCTTCCAGAAGTTAAAGAAGAAAATTTTTCACAAGCCTCCGAAGTCACCAAGTAAGTGTTCCAAATCTTTTTCTTCTGCTTCCATTATTGCAGAACAAGATAGATTTGTGGGACACAGGAAGTGGAAGATTTACTTGAAACAACATCTTATTCTCTTTAGAATTATTTACTTGTGGTGTGCAGAGCACGCCTAACTGAGATCTGTTCTGGACCCCGTGAAGTTAGACTTTTATAGGCTAAATATTGAAGTTCATGGGTTAGTTGTAATTCTTCATTCCTCAGCATAAACTTCTTTCTTCTCGTATTATCCCTTCTAATGGCAAACATTCTGAATTTCTTTTTTTCTCTCTCTTTTTGGAGAAATGCTGATACTTGCTGTGTAGAAATAACCTGGGATTCCTGGAGCTACCTACCATCCAGTAGATATCTATGTTTGTAGATTAAGCAGTTCTCTTTTCCATTTGTTGAGGTTTTTTTCTCCACATGACTTTAGAAGTACAATGTTATTATTAGATCTGCAGTTTTAATGTGGGTTTTTGTCCTTTTTTTCTGGGGTTTATGTTTCTTAGTATACTTTTCCATTTACCTTCCTTTTTATACTTCCAGTGAATGTTTCAGAGAGGACTTTACTTCAAAGTATTGCTGATTGTTGTTACTTTGTTTTGTTTCTAATAAACTAAATAATGTACTTAAATTTTGCTTTAGGTTGAGGAAGAGGTATGCTCTTCTGGTAGATGTACGCCTATCTTCTTCCTCTTCCTGAAATCCCTTTGCTTGCCTAAATGATGGAATTTAAAATAGCTTTTTAATTTCAGTTATGATGTTTGTATGTACTTCTCTTGGTAATTTGAAGACTAACTAGTTAGCCCATATAGTGCACATCTACACCAATAATTTGAAGTGGAATTAGTGTTAGTATTTGAACCTGACTGCCACAGCTGAGGTCATTACTGTCACTATACCTCTAAGCCTGTTCATTTTTTGGAATGCGATTTTTTTCTTTATCATGATTTTTATTTTAGGTGAATGTCCCATTGCTCTGTATAAGCCAGTACGTAGTATGCTGTTAAATTCTATTTTAATAAGTAATAGGACTGTGTCTGTGAACCTTGAAGTACAAGAGAGAAAGAATTTTTGTGACCTTGGGCTTTTTAAGGCAACGATGAGATATTTTCTTTTGTTATAGAGTCTCCATACAGCTCTAGCACACAACTGTATCCTAAAAAATCTGCAGTTTGGCGATCTCTGCAGGGAACATGCGGTGCACGTCTTGAGAGTGCAGCTGTAAAGAACCCAAGGCAGATGTGGCTGGGATCACTAAAACAAGGTATTAGTATGGAAACTTTATATGTGTATATGGATAAAATTCAGTGTTGTGGACAGCTTAACATTTAAACTCTTAAAAAATAGATTTGTATTTGATTATAGGCTACATAGGAAGTAATTTAACTATTATTTATTTGGGTGGTTGGAATTACCTGATCTTGAGCATTGGAATTTAGAGAGGGAATAATTAACAGCATTGGAGCTTTCTATGTTGCATTTGCTCAGAATAAATCCACAAATTTAATTCACAATTATCTCTGATTTTTGCTTTTTTGTTCCATTTTTGTTGGCAGGAATGAGCCATCCTCTGAAATCAGATGTTGACATGGGGCATATGCGAACTACCATTTCTAGTAGCACTCCAGAATATTTGAAGGAAGCTCTAGGAATGAAGAAGCCAAAACATTCTCGTTCTTCTAGTAATGGTAAACTATGTAATGGTGTGGTAGATAAAAGTTAATGATCTTTTTTCTGGGTAAAAACACATATTGCTTGAGATCTTAGCTTTAGTAAATCAAGACCGATTCCAGTTTAGCCTGTATTAAAATATGTGTGTCAAAGTATGATCCATGAGATACTTTTTGAGATTTCTAAATTGAATAAGACAGGGTTTCCAATTTTTTTTGAGCAATGAATCACTATTAGCTTTCAGAACTTCTTGCAAATCGCCATGCGTTCACAGCTGAAAACGTTGCAAATATAATATGGTTCAATGGGCCAGCTGTAGACAATTTATTGTGACTTTGCAAAACATAGTTTAGGAACCATTGATAGAAACCATCTGCTTGCCTGAAATTCTATGTAATTTTACTATGTACTTTTACTTCTCTAGAAAGTGTTTTTATCATGTGGTTGTGATATTAAAATCAACGGAGTTTTATGAGAAGAGCAAAATTTAAAACTTTCATCCTGCTTTTCTTAAAGGAGAACTGTAAACTTAAAAATCCTACTTCTGTTTAAAAGACACCTATACTGATAATACACAGTTTCTGGCAACTGTAAAAGGTGATAGATTTTTACATGTTAGGCATAAATAGAAAAATGTATTCTGGACATCTTTTAGAAATCTTTTGTAAATAATTGATTTGTTGGGATGAGAAGACTGCAATCTTCTGTGAAGTGCATATCTTTCTGGAGATGGATGTTTTAATCTAGCACCAGAGAGAGGGGAAGTAACTAGGAGAAATTTGCTGTAAAATCTGGCAGAATTTTCATACAGTGACATCTCCGTTTCATCTCCATTTCTAAAATTAATTTCCTTGTTGATTTTTCTTCTAAAAAAAAAAAAAAAAAAGCCTAGTTTCCAGTTTGCTGTTCTAGATATTTTCCTTTAACTGCAAGGTTTCTGGTTAGTTAAAAAGGCCTCTTTCAAATTGCTTATTTTATGTACCTTTTTCTGTAGGCTACATTCCTGGAACTCCTGATTACAAAGAAAAAGAAGATATGTATGATGAAATTATAGAACTGAAAAAGGTACAGTCTCTCTGATACTTACATAGAAATCATAGTGTTGCTCCATCCACCTGTAGATGTCCAGGCCTTGTTGGTTCACAATACTTTGGTTTCTACAACTGGGACATCCACCAAATTTTTTTTGCATTGCAATGTAAGGCTAAACTAAACTTGTGTCTGCTTAAGGCAATTTCATTGTTCTTACGGTGTGATAGATACTTCTGAGTACTGGATGTGGAAGCCTTGAAGTATATCCAGTCCTGAACCCCAGCCATGGCCCTAGCTGGACGCTGAAAAGGTTCATTGCATTTGGTTTCTTTGTCCCTCCACCTCCCTGTTTTTGTTTTGGGTTTTTTCCCCCCCCACCCCGCCCCTCCCTCCTGGCTGTTACCCATCACATTTTAACAATTTGTCAGTTGAGTTTAGTGCAGTGTATGAAAGATGAGGACTGGGCATGTTGAATACTAGGGATACCTATAGACCAATATTTTGGCTGTTGTAGATCATTTGTGTGAGGTTGCCTTTCTGTTAAACCTTTTCCTTTTATGGTCTCCTTTATCTGTCAGCCCGGTCCAGTGTGATGGTTGATGGTCTTTTTTTTTTTTTTTTTTTTTTTTTTTTTTTTTCTTTTTTTTTCTTTCACTTCATCCTGGCCATCGTAATATGATTGTTATTGACATCAAAACATGTTTCCGTGTGAAACCTCAGTGTGTTTCTATTTCTGAAAAGTGCTTACAATTTTCCTCCTCTCTCTTAGACAATACAAGCTCAGAAAAATGAGGGAGATCGAATGAAAACTAAGCTCCGTCGACTAGAAGAAGAGAACAACAGGAAGGATAAACAGATTGAGCAACTGTTGGATCCTTCCAGGGTGACTGTTTCTTGGGGGGATAACAGTGGGGCAAAATAGTTCTGAGCAGTGTGATCATCTTCTCCTTGTCTCTCTAGATTTTAGGACTCTGTAGTGTGTTGCCTCCTAGGAATGATGAGCTTGGATGTGAGAGGTAGTTGGTTGGTGTGAAGGGATTTCTCTTTTGAGCATCTCAGCTCACCATTCCAGCTCAGTTCAAAGGAAGATCATGCCGTGCTGTGCAAATAAGTTTATTTAGCAAAGATACTTTTAATTTCTGAAGGTAAAATTAAAATGCTGTCTCTTTAGAGGCCCACTTTCTGAATATTTTGCCTAAGAGCTAAAAACCTCTTGCGTGGTGACTGACACATGTGGTCCTGAGACCTGAACCAGGAAGCAAAGATGAGCTTTAATGTCAGACCCAGGAGGCTCAGAAGCATTTAGGGTCATAGTTAAAAGACCTGAATTTCACTGAATTCCTTGTGGCTGTCATTTTCTGTGGGCAGATCTACATCTCAGTAGAAGTATGTTAATACAAAACAATGAGCACAGGGCTTCAGAATTTCAGCTGTTGGACTGTGAAATGACTGTGGAGATGAGTAGGTTAGAAAATTCTGTGGAAAGAGCTGGCAGTAGAATAAAAAAGCAAGTGACCAACCTTGCTACATCTGTCTTCGCTTGCAGGGCTCGGAGCTGGCACGAGCTTTGTCAGAAAAGAAGACTGATAATGGATGGGTAATAGTTTCTTCATTACCTTTTGCTTTCATTTTTCTTTTTTTCCTCTTGCCAAGCTGAAACACTACTGATTAAAAAATAAAATGAAGTAAGAAAGAATAAGCAATTGGGGAGTCGTGTAACCATTATTTCTGTAGTCAGATAAGAAACCAGTAACAAAGGTCTGGAATTAACATTATTTTAGGGATCCACCTTTGTCACTGTCTTGAGTCTGTTTAGGGATTATTCTCCCTATTATTTACTGCTTTGAATTTAGCAGGGTAATGGGCAGAGTTGTTTTATTTAATGATTGTGTATAAATATTATTAAGCTGGTTGTGTTACCACAGATATAAGTTAGGGATTTGATTTCATTAGTGTTCTGTTTGTCACAGGGTAGCAGACCTGTGTATGATTTACTGAAGTATGTAGAAATAAATATATCTGGTTTAGGTACAGTTTATAAAGACAGGGTAGATTATGGAGAAATGGAACTTCTGTGAAGAGGTGGATTATTCTAGGATTCATGAGCTCTTTGTTCTTTCTGTAGGTGGTTAGTGGATTAAAGCAGAAGATTTTCAAGCTAGAACAACAGTGCAAGGAGAAAGACAACACTATTAAGTATGACTGGGGGGTAGAGGCTTGTATTGGATGAGATAATAAGGGGAATTTGAAATCCATGTTATTTTTCATCTGTATTATTCTGTTCCTTAAGGCATTTTAGTGAACTCTGGGAACATACTAGCAGCTATAAACAACCCACCCAGAAATTGTAAACCAGCAGGTATTGCAGCATCTTTGCTGGTCTGGCTGAATTATTTTTTGTATTATTCTGTTTTCAGCAAATTCCAGGCAGACATGAAGACCAGTAAGTTGGAGGAAGTGAGGATAGCTATGGAAACCTACTATGAAGAGGTATGTCTGACAGGTCCTTCAATGTGCATACAGGAGAGGAAGCTGTTCAGTTGTTGAGTCAAAGTATAAATGGAATGTTTAGGTTTCTTACAGCTTAGCTGCACCTGTCGTTGGGATCAGATTTTCATAGATATTCTCGTAGCTCCAAACACAGGTACTGAAAAACCTTTTTTCTTCAATAACCTCAATGTGTTAACCAAAAAGAGGAAATAAAGAAACTAATGTGCATCTCTAAGTGCCTAGATGAAAGCCAGTATAACAGTAGCCTGATTTTCGGTGATAGCATCATTGCCTCTGCTACTACCCAAAGAGTCTTGTTCTGGTTTTCACCTAATGGACAGATGTGTTGCATTAGCAATGTCAGCTTCCACAGCTAGCTCCTTAATGGAATCTATATTTCATATTTCACAGGTTCATCGTCTACAACTCCTCCTGGCAAAATCTGAGACTATGAGGAAAAAGTATGTTTAATTCTTATGAGCCAAATGTTTGCATATACGTGTTGATATATCACTCATATACTATAACTGATGGAAAACAACTATATAGGAACAGTTTATTTTGTCATTTAGATTGCTGGATTTGCTTTTTGGTACTGCTGTGGTTGGCTTCACAGCCTTGGCATATGTCTTACTCACGTGTTGGTTTTTTTTTCTTGTAGCTAGATCGATCATTTTGTGGATGTGGAAAAAATACTAGGGCTATTTAAAAACTGCATGAAAGCTCTGAAAATTTATCTCTGTTAAATAAAATCCATCTTCCCCCATAATCACACCTATTCTGACATCACTGGTGATTGAAACAAACTCACTGGGTGTTTGGCATTCTACTCTTGAGTCAGTTCTGCTTCTTGCTCTAGAACGTATGGTGCAAAGAAGGTTTTTTGGAGTAAATATTATTTTTCTGTGATACAGAGAGACAGATCCACAGGTCAGGGTAGCTTTTGCAAGAGATCCATGAGAGGCGCTAGTAAGACACTATCAGAGAGGCTTATGCTAGTGCTTGTCACTAGTGTGCAGGTGTATACTTAGTGATGAGGGTAAACGGAAAAAAAATCAAAAGCAAAAGACAAAGCTCCAGTAAGAGAGAAAAGGAAAAGCATCTTTGCAAGTAATTGTTAACTGAGCTGAGAAGAGGTTAATAGTCTTGTTGGATAGGAAAATTTACTACCACACCACTATCAAAATATGCTTCCCCTCCTAGTGTTAAGTACAGACAACTATCTTGATTTTGGATGTAATTATTTAGGTTGATAGAAACATATGAGAGCTCTTTAAGGGTCATTATGTGTACTACTTGTGTTTCCCTAATTCACTGTCTTTTGTGGATTGAAAGCTGCAATTTGTTTTGTCACTGTTTTAAAAAAAATAAATTCATCTTTCTTGGCTCAGGCATGCAGTGACTAGCCTCTTGAGGCTGTAAACCATCACAACCAATTTATTTACAGGTGAAAATGAGTCATCAGGTCTCTTCCTTGTCCTCATTTATTCATAGCTCCAAAAAACAGCGGTCAGGGCAGTCTCTCTCCATTATGTGACTGTCAGTCTCTACTTGAGAAGCTGAGCACTGAAATAATAAATTATGTTGAAGGTCATGATGCTGGCACGTAGAAAGAGTTGTAGGAGAGTGTTTTTTTCATGATGCTTGTCTACATTATTTCTGGTTGAAGTGAATGGCATTCAGCTCCTCTTTTTCAGTGTTAATGCTGAAATATATGATTGTTTGTATGTGAAGCTGTAGTATCCAATTGTAGCTAGAAACTAGGCAACATTTCAAGTCCTCAAAATGGTCTGCAATTCTTTTATTTAGGTTTTGATGAGCCTGAAATAATGACGCTCAGTGATACATTTATAATTTCTATAATTTCTGTCACTTCCCATTTTTGGTGTGTTGTGTTTGGTTTTTACTTCTCTTCCCCCCCCGCCCCC